AACCCATTATTTTAGACTGCAGGCTGTCATGTTGGTTCTTGGTTTTATCTGTGTACTAGTATTTCCAAACTCTGTAATCCTTAATAAAGTTATACTCTTGAAGTCAAGGATTAGAGGTGTATAATTCTGCTTAGAATGGCACTAATAGCCACCAGTACAGAGTTCCCTAGAGGTGGAAACAGGACATGGGGGGCAGATGAGGGGTCAAGAACAGGAAATTAAGAAACCCTTTGCTTGTAAGTTGATGGAAGATGATTGGAGATGCTAAAGCGTATGAGATATATAGCTTCAACATAAAACTTTCTAAGGTACTGAGGGTGGGGTTTTTTTTATAACTGTCATCTTCTAATGTAAGGGATGATTATTATGTTACATGAATTTGTTAAGATTTTAATGAAACGTAGAGAAGTCCACAGGATTGTAGCTATGGTGCTGTGTTGGCACTCATGATACAGACTGAAACTGTGTATTAAAATATAAACTATATTATCCCTGATGATGTTTAGCCCCAGGCCCATAGCCCCGGGGGGCCCTTGGAGCAACGGTCCCTCCCAAATTTGCCCTGCCCCCTAATCTCCCGGTCCCCCTTCCCTCCCCCAGGAGGTGGAGGGAGCCTGGGACTGCTGATCTGGAGGGAAGCGGCGAGAGCAGCTGGCTGATGCCCGGCCAGTGGAGCAAATGAATGAGCAAGAGTTGGTGGGGAAGGAGTGCATGCCTGGCTCTGGCACAGCCAGCTCCACCCCCAGCCCAAATTGCGAGAGCCATGAGCCAAATTGGAGGGGGGAGGGGGCAGCAAATGCAGTGCTTATCTGCCTGTGGCGTGGCTGGCTCACCTCCCTTTCTCACCCGCCAGCGTTGTCATCTCCCTGCTGCTGCCCCAAGTCCTCTGGAGCTAGCTGCTCACTCAGGGTTTGTTTGCTGTGTGCCTCTTTTTTTAAAACAGGGATGCTGCTGCCCCTCCCACCCCACAGTTATCTGGCTATGGTGTTGTTTAGCCCCAATCAACACACTTTGGTAACGCTTTGAAAAAATATGTCAAATGAGCTCCTTTAGAGAAAACAGCAAGAATGCCCTCCTATGTTCTCTTGCTAGTAGGACGTGGACGAACGGTGATACTACAAACTATTCTCAGCGTCTTCTACACACTGTTGGCTTTGCACCCTGATCTCCCTTTCTGATCACTCTATGTACTTCTACTCATGAAAAGAGGGATAATTTTACTAATTTCCCCTCTCTCTGTGGCTCCCACTTTGACCCCTTCCCCTTCCCGGGTTATAGAAGACTAAATTAAGAGAAGGCAGGGGGCAAATTGCCATTTATGCGTAGCAGCTGCACCTAAACCACATAAGATCGAAGCCATGGTGGTTGATAACAAGGCCTGATATTTCAAAGGCATGATGAGTGATGGTCAGGTATATTGCAGTGAAGCTTGTGCTCTTTCAAGCTTTGACTCTAAGATTTTGTAATCATGGATTTGCATAACTCCTCCCACCCATATGATTATTCATCTACTTATTATTGGAGTGCCATGCAGAGAACCCACTGGGAAATGTCATCTGTCTCATCAGGGAAGGGCTGTGGCTCAGTGGTAGAGAATTGGTATTGCATACATCAGGGAGTATATGATATGAAAGAACTCTACCAAACACCCTGGAAAGCTTCTGCCTATCAGAGTAGACAATACTGACCTTGATAGACCAAGATTCTAACTTGGCGTAAGGCAGTTTCAAGTGTTCAGGTGTATGATAGCATCTGCTGCTGCTCCAGTGTCATTGACAAATGATAGTGTTACAACGTCCTACATCAGCTTTATATACCTTAAATTATGATATGATGTATATATTCCAACACCCAAGGATTAGTATGTGAATCCTCATGGAGAAACACAGCTTGGAACTGGTGTTGCTGTAGGTTCGGTGTTTGAAATTGCATCATGTACCGCCAGGGTTATCCGTTTAAGCCCAGCCCTTTATTAAAATGTGTCATCCCCGCTTCATATCTTAGTGGATCTAATCTTCGCACTTAATATTGAGTTGAGGAGTGTTTTAATGTGTCTGTCTTGCCTTCATTTCCACTTCTTGCCATCTCAGACTTGCAAACTGCTAAATCTCAGAAACTGGTGTAATGTATTTGTTCTTGCCGTCTTCAAGTAGATCACAAGGGTGAAAATATTTCAGCTCTTGCTTCTCCCCCCCCCCAACCCTCATCATCATTGCTGTCCAGGTAAAATTGCTCAATGACTTGTTTTTGAGGTAATCAAAATCAGCTATCATATAGTCCAGTATAGGCTCACCACTTTCACCTTCTGTCCAGTATAGGCTCACTTTCATGGTTGTGACTGTAATTGGAATTTAGAGACACTCTCTTATAGAGAGGATGCTTCTTTGTCATAGGAGGATAGGTATTCTGATGTCGGAGCCCTAACTGGCACATAAAAAATAAGTAAGCTGGCTGCTATAGCCAAACGTATTTTGTTTCTGCATTAAAACAAACAAACCCCACACAGTCTTCTTTTTTCCAGGCAGGATCCACATGTAGTTGGGTGTTGCAGGTGAATGGTTACAGTAGCACAACAGTGTGTGAATCCAGTCTAATTCCTGTGTTTCAGTGAACCCAACAATTCAGCTACTCATCTTTATGACTTCTGGCATGTGACTTCCTATGCCCTGAAGAGAAGCCACCCTTTCTGATAATCAGACCATTTGTTTCTCCTCTTGCGATAACTCCCTCAACATGCTTGTATGTTGAGTAGAATGTTGAGTAGTGTTCCTCAACATTACTTCCTCAACATACACTCTCCTCAAGGACTGTTTGAACTACCATGGTCTCACTTTTCTGCCACTCAGCATTACCCTACCTCTCATGTCTACTCAATCCTAGGTCTGTCCCCCCTCCCCTTGATGTCCCATGCATTCCAAATATCCTGATTTACCAAAGATGTTTCACATTATCTGGTACTCACTCGTGGTAAATCAACTGTTCCTATTTTACGTCGGGGGGATGTTTTTGAGAATGCCCTTTTAAAACAGAACAACCTTAATGGTCAATGAGTAGGGCTGCCATTTTTTCAGATTTCAGCCTTTCCCATCCTGATATCGAGAAGCCAGATCATAGATGTGTTTTGCCTCGAGGACATATGAATGCAAATGCACACCTGATCCATAGCAAAGTTCTGTACATAATACATCCTGTCACTTCATAGACTGCAGCTGGTAAGGTTCGGTTTGAACTACTGATTAAGTTATTTAGAAGATAATTTTGTTTTCTCTTCCATAATATACATTTTTCAAAAAAAAATATGGAACTCGTTTTTTTAAATCAGTGCAGGATAGACCCTTGCAGACTAAATAAATACAGAGAATGCAAGCAGAGAAGAGCTTTTAGGAATTATGTACTAGTGTGTGTGTGTGTGGGGGGGGTAGCCACTCCAAACAGTGACCCATGGCGTGAGAATTAGGTGGTACAAACACACAGGAGCACCCTGTTTTCATTTGTGTGGAAGGTATGTTGTCTTGACCATCTGTTGTAAATTTATAAGACTCCCGAGCAGAGGTTCCTTTGTTCCATAAGCATGCCACTGATGCTAAATTAACAACAACCAATTAACCACAACAGCTAATAGCAACAATCGTAAACATGAAAGAGCAGGGTTTTCTTACAGTAAAGCATGGAAGTACTTGGGATTATCTGGATTTTCTTTTTCTTTTAAATTATATTTTGTTTCCATCCTATTAAAACTAAGTTGTTTTAATGGCACAAACCTTAAGATGGGAAGATAAAACATTAGTGTGTAGCTTGAGTTCTCAGAAATATTTCAGGAAATGCTGAACAAGGTTCTTGTATATTAAATTTTCTATCAGTAGCTTCTATCCATGAATAAGTGGGTCAGTTTGCATATTCATGTACATGCATGCATTTGTATGTCTGGGGAATTTTGGTACCTTGGAGTATCCATTTACCAACTGCACTATGTCAGCAAACATTCAACCCAGGGAAGCAAATTTGGTCCCTGGGGTCAATGAGAGTAAAGCAGCCGGCTTCTGCATGGCTTACATTTTCATACAGGGGGACTCCATGGCAGCCCTTTCTGTTGCCCATCTTACTTCCTAAACAAACCTGCACTTCTAATAACACAGGACATCTCATGGAAGACTGCAGTGCTAAAGAAAAGGTAGTGTAAAATGATTTCTGCGAGAAGTTGTGTAAAGAGTTCATGCTATGTTAACACTCTGAACTTCGTTTGATACAATGCTGCAGCTATGAATAGGCCATGCAGTAAAACAGCCCTTCAGATCTGCTCATGTAATACAGCCTCACTGTCTAAACTGTTGAGTTGTGTGTACGTAGGAGATAATAGAAATAACATTGCTGGGACGGGTTTTTGGAATTTGGATGCCCCAGAGGTTTCTAGCTACCCGTATGGCACCATGAAACTATAACTCGTTTAACTAAATTAAGATTGCTTTATTTGTGGTGTGGTTGCCACTTCAGTGCCACTAGCCCACTGTTGTCTCCACTGCCACATTGGTAATGTAGAGGTGTTCTGATCACAGGGGTAGTGCAACCCTCATGGGTTCATCTCTTCCTAGGGTTCTTCCTCTATCAGGGCAGCTGATGTTGGCATGGAAAATGGCTCATGTGATCAGGGTTACCCTAGTACATTACTTATGTAGTAGGGGATCCAGACAACAGGAAGTAGTTCTGCAGTTGAAACTACACTATGAACATGTGAATTGGGCCATAGTGTTATCTGAATGACTGGGGCTGAACCAACCTCTAGCCTTTGGATTATTTGGCCTTTGGATGAAATCCTTTTGATATTATATTGCCTCCCCCCCCCAAGTGATGCACCCACTGTAAAGTTAATACAAATCCAACCCTGTTGGTCTTCCTGAAATGCAAGACATGCAGCCCATCTGGGAATGGGAAGAATGAAGTAATCTTTGAATGGGTTAAGACTGGGCTTGGCACCTCTTCTTTCCTTAACTCTCTGCACTCAGATATTGACCAGTGGAATAAGGTAATCGAACAGCTGGGAACACCTTGCCCGGAATTCATGAAGAAACTCCAGCCCACAGTGCGGAACTACGTGGAAAACCGACCTAAATACGCCGGCCTAACTTTCCCCAAACTCTTCCCAGACTCTCTCTTTCCAGCCGATTCAGAACACAACAAACTCAAAGGTAAGAGCAAAGAGGCTATGCTTCGACAGCAGAGTGTGAGACTGGGGCTAGGTAACCAGGTCTTGGGTACCATAGATTCTCAATGTCAGAAGAGCCGTCCTAAATTAACAAGAGAGGAAAAGTGTACTGGGGGAAAAGCTCCCTTCTGCTTTCTATCCTGCCTTAAAATATGCTCAGACTAGCCCAGCCTCACCAGAGCTTGGAAGCTAAGCAGAGTCGGTACTTAGATGGGAGACCACCAAGAGATACAAGGGTGGCTGTGCAGACGAAGGCCAATGACAAACTACCTCTGCTCTTCGCTTGGCTTGAAAGTCTCATGAGATGCAACTTCAACCATGCGTCAGTTGCAATTTGACAGCACATTTTACCTTAGTGCTTGAGAAACTCAAAGGAGTTTTAAGGATCATGTATGAAAAGGCTACAGAGTGGTTCTTTCGAGGTGGAACCAGGTCTTCAGTAGAACAGCTAGGTTCGAGTCCAGTAGCACCTTAGAAACCAACAAGATTTGTGGGGTTAGAGCTTTCAAGAATTAACGCTTCCTTTGTCAGATAGCTGAAGAAGAAGAAGAAGAAGAAGAGATTAGATTTATACCCCACCCTTCACTATCTGAAGGAGTCCCAGAGCGGCTTACAATCTCCTTTCCCTTCCCCTCCCCACAACAGACATCCTATGAGGTAGGTGGGGCTGAGAGAGCTCTTTTGAAAACTGCTCTTGAGAGAACAGCTCTGAGAAAACTGGTAACTGACCCAAGGTCACACCAGCTGCATGTGAGGGAGTGGAGAATCAAACCTGGTTCTCCCAGATTAAAGTTCTGCTGGACTCAAATCTAGCTATTCCACAAGAATCTACCACTCCGTCATTTTTTGTCTGGTGAATATTTGATACTTGATTAGTAAATACTATCAGCAGAAAACACTCATGTCAGTGTCTTCCCTGAAGTAATGTGGCCACCTTTGGTTTCATGAAAATACCTAATGAAACATACAAAAGAACACGAGAAGAGCCCTGCTGAGCCAGACAAGTGGGTCCATCTAGTCCAGCATCTTGTTTCACACCGTGGCCAACCAGTTGCCCTGGAAAGCCAACAGACTGGATACAGAGGCTAAGGTCTTCCCCTGAAGTTGCTCCTAGCACTGAGTTTTGGAGGTTTACGGCCTCTGACTATGGACATTCTGGTCCCCTGCCACACCATTGCCTTTCATATGCAGGAGTCCCCTAGCATGCCTCCTCCCCTGGAACAGCCAGTTTACACACGGACAGCTGCATCTGCAAGAGGGCCGTTCATGCTCAGGTTGTGCGTAGGAGAGACACTGGATCAGGCTCCCGGGGTTGTATTCTTGCTTGAAACAAAGATATTTCAGAGCAACTACACTCTCATCAAATGCATATATATATGCATGCATATATATATATATGAATAAATAAACCTTGCTAGAAAGCATTAAATTGTGCATGCCACTAGTAAAAATGGCGTTGGATTCATTATGTGCCAGCAGGGAAGCAATATGCCACACCGAACACGAACACCCAAGGTTTGATACTGGCAGCTAAGGGCTCACATGGTGCTCACTGAGATGTTGCCACTGTGCGAAATCACAGGAAAGCAAGACATTTTTAAGCATAAATGGAACCCATGATTAACGTCAACTCAATGGTGTCTTTCCATAGAACAAAAAGATAAATGTGTGATTAATATAGAAAAGGCTTCCGGTTGCAGCTCCGCAGCCTTCTACCCACTCGCGGCGTTGTATCAGTTTCGCACACATGGATTCCCAAGGTTGCTTGCCGCAGCAATGCATAATGTTTTTTAATCTGCTGTAATTTGCATGTCATTACCCAGAATGCCTTTCCCATCATACGGCAAGGCTGTTTGCCTGCACTCTGGGGAGTGATTGAAGGTCTGGCCAAATGGCTTTAGATACATTGAGCTCTTCCTATAATCCCCCCACATACACACGCACACTGCTCCACCCCCCATGATGAAACAGAATAATGGACTAGAAATGGATTTGAGGCAGATGCAGAGAGAAAGATAATTAAGGTGGTCTTTCGCTTACTGGATCCTGGATGAAAGCTATATGTTCTGGGGGGAGTTTCTTGCATACATACAAACGTGTATGTCATCAGATTCCGACTTGCTGTTCTAGTTCCTAAAAATACCCTTTCTTAACAACATGGTTGCAAACCCAATAAGAATGTTTCTGACATCCTGAAAACCGGGATTGCATCCCTCTGTGACAGAAAGTTATGTTTTGCCACTTAGTCTTCACCCACCGAAACTCTTACAGACCACCCCCTACCTCGGCTAAGCTCACTTCTTCAGCTACAGAAATCATACCTACACAAAGCATCATCAATTTGAGGCACAAATAAATAGCAAAAGCTGGGGGTGGGGAGAACCTTGAGGTTAACTCTTGGCACTTTAACACATATATCCTGGGAGTGGCTTTCTTGGATTAAATGCATTCAACTAAATGGCCTGGAGCTCACCCAAAGCTTCTGCCAGAATATGCCTGTTAGTTTTTACGGTGCCACAAGACATTCTTTCATTTTGCTGTAACAGATGGACTACCCCACCCCATGAATAACTGGCAAAGCCACTTGCTCTTCAGTTGCTCATAGGTAAACAAATAAAATAAAAGCAATTGCAAAAGCATAAGAACATAAGAAGAGCCCTGTTGGATCAGACCAGTGGTCCATCTAGTCCAGCATCCTGTCTCAAACAGTGGCCAACCAGTCCTCTGGAGGGCCAACAACAGGGCACAGAGGCTGAGGCCTTCCCCTGATCTTGCCTTTTGGCTCTGGGATTCAGAGGATTAGTGCCTCTAAATGTGGAGGTTCCCCTCAGACATCGTGGTTAGCAGCCACTGGTAGACTTATCCTCCATGAATCTATCTAATCCCCTTTTAAAGTTGTTTATGCCTGTGGCCATCACTACATCCTCTGGCAGTGAATTCTACATTTTAATCACTCTCAGTGTAAAGAAGCATTTTCCAAGCAAAACTTGGAACAGTTATAGCAGGAGAACTGTTTTGTTTAATTTAGTGAATGTTCTCTCTGTCTCTGTGTTGACATAAACTATCCCCACATCATATTGATATCAAAATAAGGATTTAAAGATCACTTGCATTGTCCATATAAGTTGGATCTAATTCAGTATATAGTCTAGGATTGAACTCTGGCCACCCTCCTTTTCATTTTGGGGGCACACTAGAGAGACCTCTCTGTCCCCATTCCCTTTGGCTAATCTTTTGTACCCCTGAAAACAAACATCTGCAAGGGGCCATGGAGTAGCTTGACAGAAGTTTCACTATCAACAGGGCTATTTTTGGGCAGGAACGCACAGGAACGGAGTTCTGGCTGGCTCCCAAGTTGGCCACGCCCAGCAGGAACTCATTAGCATAATAGGCCACACCCAACAGCAGAAACTCATTAAGATTGGCTACATTAGGGGTGTGTGGCCTAACATGCAAAGGAGTTCCTGCTACAAAAAAGCCCTGGGTTTTGACAACAAACAAGGGAGTGTGGCCTAATGTGCTAATGAGCTGTGCTTTCAGGGGTGTGGCCCAATATGCTAATGAGTTCCTGTTGTTGGATGTGGCCTATTATGCTAATGAGTTCCTGCTGGGCTTTTTCTACAAAAAGAGCCCTTCTTTTGCATTGAATCTACATAGCAGGAGAGGGCCAGATCTTGCTTGGAAGTTATGCTTTCTCCTTGATGGTCTTTCTGCCTAATTGCAAACAAGGAAGAAAAGGGCACATTGGCTGTGGTTTCTGTGATCTTAGGAAAATGCACTTTGTGTGTGCTCAGACACATTTGGATCTTCAGCGTGACTTTCCATATTCCTGGGCTGAGCCCTGGTGACCCCTGGCTTTCTTTGCTAGCAAACCTCTCCCTTTGATATGTGTGTGTGTGAGCCCATAGTTTGCTGCTGAACCTGGGAGCTGTAGGGAATATGATGCTTAAATTAGCTTTTTTATTACAATGGTGTAATTGATATGTAAATTTCTGCTTCAAGGTGCATGGGGGGGAGTGGGTGTATGGGGGGGGAGTGGCTTTGCCCGGTCTTTCAACAAATGGTTATGCGTTGAGTTAGAGATTATTAGGTTGTGCATGAAACCAGTAGGTGGTATTTATATTATAGTCTGATCTGGAAGAAATACATATGAGTATATATACTCTACTTAGGGGTGTGCAAATATGCCCCTTTGCTTTTTATTGCCTCATATGGTCATTTTGCTAAGGAGCTGCGGTGGCTCAAGTGGTTAAGACGCTAAACTGCAGGCTGTGGAAGGTCAGTAGTTCAGCAGTTCGAGACCCGGGTGCAGCAAGACGGAGTGAGCTCCCGTCTCTAGTTCCAGCTCCTGCCAACCTAGCAGTTCGAAAGCAAGAAATTGCAAGTAGATAAATAGGGACCACTTCGGTGGGAAGGTAACAGCGTTCCGTGCCCCTTGGTGTTTAGTTATGCTGGCCACATGACCACGGAAACGTCTTCGGACAGCGCTGGCTCTTCGGCTTTGAAACGGAGATGAGCACCGCAACCCTAGAGTCGGATTCGACTGGCTTTCGAGCAAGGGAACCTTTACCTTTACCTTTATGGTCATTCTGCAAATTCTCATTCCTCCCATTTCCAGTTGCTGAGTTTCCTGTTCCTTTCATGACATGTATATGTTTGATACCATTTATTTGCAGCTGACATAAAAATAACTTTGGAAAAGGTGTTAATTTTAATGAGGAAAATTGGGCATGAGAAAGCAGAAAATGGCACAGAGGCATAAACACGAACAAGACTAAGTGATATTGAAACGGGGATCATCACGTTGCAGGGATGGACAGGATCCATAGCATTCCTGTCCCTCTTGCCTTGGGAATACAGGGCAACTGCTCCGAATATTCCCCCCCCACACTAGTGTTCCTGTTTTATTTGGAAAACATGCTATGAATGAAGAATGAATAGAGTTTTTCATATCTCAAATGAGAATCATTTATGTCAGCAATTAAGAATAAACACTAGTCATACGGATATTTAAAATAACAACAACATGATATTTCGGTGGCGCCAATTGTTTGATAGTGAAAACAATAGAACTGGATGCACACCTGCATTTGGTGCATCTGTTAGTTTCCACTGGCAGTTGCAGGAAACTTGATTTTGCATCAGAAGAATGCTGTTTTCCTCCGTGTCAGTCATCCGAGTGAGCTTCCAGCGAGGATTAATCAAGCTCCTTCTGCCAGAATGGCTCAAGCGCAGGTCTCTATTGGCCAGATTCCATTCTCTATTTGCGACTCCCCCAGGTTTGCTGGTTCTCCAGGGCTATGAATAGCAAAGGACATGCAGGCACTCTTGCATCTGTTGCCATTCAGATTCTGAATGGCTTTTATAGGGAAGCAGATAGTTTACTGCAAACAGAGTGGATTTTGGCTAGGGGTACCACGATAATCCACCGTTGGATTTCTAACGCTGATATTATTGTACTGGGAAGAAGGGTCCTGTTATTGCCCCCACAATAGGGATTGATCTGAATTACTTTTTTATCCATATAGACAATCTAAAGATGAGCCATGTTAACACCTTAGAAACAGGTATGTTAGAAGCAACATAGAAATTAATGTTTAAATCTTTAAATGGGAAAATGATCAGGGAGACATTTCTTCCCATTGCAGATTATGTTTGGATTCTGTCTCATTTTATTTGAGAAGTCCATAGCATTCTCTGTTTTGCTTTTTGGCTCTAGCAAATACCTGCCTGTGAGATGCCATTTTAGAATCCTGTAGAAAACTCATAAATATGCTAATTGGACTAGGATTTCTGCTAATCCTGAACAGTCAAGAAGTTGGGTGTTTCAAAAGGAATGGAAATGTTTCCAGTCATATAAGGGAATTACTTTTCTCTTTGTTTGTACTACAGGCTTGTGATGTTTTTAAGGATTCAGAGCCATTATATTCAAATTCATTATTGAGCACATCAGGGCTAGGAGTCAGTATGGTGGTTCCCATAGACAGGGAAAGTGATAGCCCCATGTTCCCAGGTAGTTTTAAAACAAGATGGTTCCAAGTAAGGCAGTGGCAGGTAAAAATAATAGTGCCTCTTTGTTTGATCAAGAGTATATGCTTCTAAGGAAAAAAGGCATGAGTCTGGGGAGTCTGAAGTGGGCAGCAGGTAGGGAAAATGCTGAAAATTACCCTCCTTCCATTCAGAAAAATCCAGCCAGATTTTTCACTCAATCTCACCCAGTTCTCTCTACTACAGTCCCCATCCTACATGGCTTTTGGACTTTCGCGTCCCTGATTCTCAGCATAACCTTTTTGCGTGGTCAGAGGGGACCCTGTCTTTTTCACCAGCAGGGAAGCTGGTTGGATCCAGCCCACTGTGTCCATGTTCAGGTGCACATGTGCAGATTCCAGGAAAGGGCCTGCAAACCAACTCTTCCCTTTATGCACATTGGCTTGTTCCTTCGTTTGTCATATGTATAAGGCTCTGGGCAGGGATGTATTGTGATATGTCAAGGGAGAGAGAAGGTAAGGCAAAGCCATAGAGGGATTCATAGGTACGATTAAGAAATTTGGGCTGAATCCAGGAGTGGACAGGACACCAGCGTATGGATTTAAGGAGCATGTCAGATGGTCAGAATGATCCAGCAAATGATCTCGACTTCTGAATGTGGGAGTTTGAGGAAAGGGAAGTTTAGAAGGAAGGGGAGTTTGAACTGTGGTGTCAAAACACCAAAGAGGAAGAAGTTACAGTAGGCAAGACCTGGCAGAACAGGAGTGTGAAGCAAAGCTGATGCTGACTGTATGTAGAGGAAGGGCTGTATTCTATGTTGTAAAAGGGAAAGCAACATGACCTGGTTGGGTATTCTAATTATGGAAAGCAAGAGAGGAAGAAGATATATTTTTACAAAATTCTAGCTATGGCTTTGTGCTTGTTCTACAGGGTGCATTGTGACATTGCCACTGGACATGAAAAGTGTATGAAGAGCAGGAGGCTGGTGGAGGGTGTCAGAAGTTCAGTTTGGACGTGACCTATTGAGTCTGTGCTAGTGATGATACATCAATTAGAAGTGTTAGACAAGCAACTGAAGATGCAGGGATGGGCAGAGGGCAAAAGTAGATTTGGAATAATCAGCATACAAGAAGTGCTGGAAACCAGAGGATTTAATGAGATCACCCAGGGTCAGTGTCTAGACAGAGAGTATAAGGGGGCCAAGGTCAGATAGTTGAGGGACCCCAACAGACTGAGGAAAATTGGAGAGAGAGCTTCTCCTTGAAAACGTGTTTTACAAAAAAGGCACAGCGAGAACCTGCTGAGGACAGAGTCATGAAAAGGCAGGATGTGAACAAAGTGAAGCAGAAGACAGTGATCAGCTGTATAAGAGCTGGCAGAGAAGTCAAGAAGAATGAGGACAGAAATCATTGGATTTTGCAGTGAAGAGTTTCTCAGTTGTTTTGGTGAGGGCAGTTCCAGTGAAAAGCAACGTGCGGAAACCAGATTGTAGGGTTGGACTTGGAGGAAGGGAAGTGGAGTCAGCAGGACTAAGTGGCAGGCTTGGAAGCAAATAGCAGAAAATAAATGTGGTGGTAGGTGGAGAAGGAGGATGAATCAAGTGATAACATTTTGAGCATGGGCAACCAACACGGGAGGGAAATAGTAAGAGGTGAGTGATAGGTTGATTATGTGACGGAGAGAGGGGAGAATCGTGGGGGAGAAGACAATCTGGAAGGAATACGATCAAGGGGGCAAGTGGAGGGACTGGACGATGTCCACAGAGTGGTGAACCCATCAAGAGAGACTGGAAGGAAAGAAGAAATGTCTGAAGGAGGTGTGAGAAGTGGAGACAGATAGCTGAGCAGGTGGTTCAGCTTTTCACTGAAGAAGAAGAAAGACAACTATTACGAGGAGGGTTAGGAAGGTCCAAGACGGGGTGTTCCTTGACCTGGATAGCCCAGGCCAGCTTGATCTCATCATATCTTAGAAGCTAAGCAGGGTCAGCCCTGATTCATACTTGGACGGGAGACCCAAAGGAAGTCTAGTGTTGCTGTGCAGAGGCAGGCAATGGCAAACCACCTCTGAATGTCTCTTGCCTTGAAAACTCTGTGGGGTCGCCAGAAGTCTGCTGTGACTTGACAGCAAAGGAAGAGGGCAGGATGCAGAGGAAGCGCTTCAGAGGGTGGGGCAATGGGCTCAGGCCTTAGCGTATGAAAGACAGAGAAGAGGCATTGAGGATTCGTACAGCCAGTGCACTGCTTGCCCAAGTAGATGGCAGATGGGAAGGAGCAGAGGATGAGTTTATAAAGATTATTACTTGTAAAGGAGCATGTTGGGAGATGTAGAACGGAGGGAGGTTATTGGGGCTAGAAATGAGGGGGACAAATGGTCCACTGGAGGAAAGTTGGGAGTTAAAGGACGGAGATGAGTTGAAGCCAAACCTGTGGAAGTGAAGGAGTAAGGAGGAGAGAAGGGCCAGCTCCTTTGAGAGAGCCACTGAATCAAACTACTGGAGCTCACAAAAGAAGCAAGTGAAGCAAAGTGAGAGCGGACTGTGGGAACTGCTGCAGGAGATGAGAGGATAATCAGACAGAGGCTATTCCACCAGAGCAGAGAGGTCAGAGAGGCAGCAGTTCCTGGTGGAGATGAGACTGAGAGAGTGCCTGAGGCAGGTACAGGTCAGAGTCAGTCCCGAAGCAGAGATTGGGGTAGGAGGTTATGGAAGGAAGCAACTGGGCTGGAAGTTTTATCAAAAGGAATGATGAAACTGCCAAGGGTCAAGATGCGGGGTGTTGTCAAAGAAGCAGAAAGTGAGCTGGATATCGGGGCCTGACGCAGAGACTCAGAATGAACCTGGGAGGATGGCCGTAACACAGAATCACAGAGGGAAGTTAAGTCATACAGAGTGATCGTCAAAGGTTGAGGAGCAGTATGAGGAGGTCTGAGCTCTCTGCACCCCTCATTCAAATCCTAGGGGATGTTTGGAAGGCTGTCGTATACTTGGGTTAGCGGCCAAAAGGACCTGCAAACCGAGCAGGAGTCTCGGGGGAGACTTCCGCTGTGTCTTGGAGGCCTCCCGTCAGCATTCCGTGAGGTCCCACGTTCAGATCTTCAGTTGCATTGCCCCTAATAACAAGATACCTCTGAGACTTAGCACTGCAGAAGAAACTATTGAGCGTCTAGCTTTTTACCGCCTGCCATTTAAACTTAACATTTTTTTAAAAAAATAGTAATTTAGCATTACAACATCTAACAATGTACCTTGCCTAAGCTCAACAAGTGCGAAGTGGACACTTGGCCAGACAGTGCCTCCCTACCTGTTGCTTCTGTGAATCTTCATCATGTCATGACACATTTCTCTCTTTTGGTTTCATTGCTCCAGCTAGCCAAGCCAGGGACCTTTTGTCAAAGATGCTAGTGATTGACCCAGCCAAGCGGATATCAGTGGACGAAGCCTTGCAGCATCCGTACATTAATGTTTGGTATGACCCAGCAGAAGTGGAGGCGGTAAGTAAGAACCTGACTTGTACCGTAAAGTTCTGAATTTGCTTTAAGTGTGTAAGGCACAAGAATCCACTTAGTCCCTCCAGTGGCAACCCCACGCCCAACTGGCATTTCCCTCCGCTGCTCAGAGTGGTGGTGGGAGAAAGATACAGTTTTTAAAAACAGCTGTCAGCTAATGGTGTGACATCCCTTCTGGGAAAATCCAGAAGTGACATCATTCATACCTCTCTAGGAATGGACTGATCTTTGTCAATTCCTAGACAGGACTGACCTCATTTCTGGGTTTTCTGGAAGTGACATCATGCTGATGTCCCACCTCCTGGTCTCCTGCTGGTTGCTAAACTGGGCCTGGTGACCCTAAGTTCACTAAACACTTTGTCCCTTTAAAAATGCACAGAAACAGTGACCGGAAAGGGAGATTCAGAACCAAAGCTTTGCATGACTTAAAGGGATAAGCAGTAAACGATATATGCTTGGATTCTTCACACAGTTTGTGTGCCTCTCTCTTGTTTTATACTGAAGTACATACATTAGGAGCTGTGGTGGCTCAAGTGGTTAAGACGCTGAACTGCAGGCTGGGGAAGGTCAGTAGTTCAGCAGTTCGAGACCCGGGTGCCGCAAGATGGAGTGAGCTCCCGTCTCTAGTTCCAGCTCCTGCCAACCTAGCAGTTCAAAAGCAAGAAATTGCAAGTAGATAAATAGATGCCACTTTGGTGGGAAAGTAACAGCGTTCCGTGCACCTTGGTGTTTAGTCATGCCGGCCACATGACCACGGAAACGTCTTCAGACAGCGCTGGCTCTTTGGCTTTGAAACGGAGATGAGCACCGCAACCCTAAAGTCAGATTTGATTGGCTTTCGAGCAAGGGAACCTTTACCTTTATATACATTAAGCTGCTATCTGCTGAATCAGACCCTTGGGGCATCAAAGTCAGGATTGTCTACTCAGACCGGCAGCGGCTCTTCAGGGTCTCAGATGAAGGTCTTTCACATCACCTCCTACCTGATCCTTTCAACTGGAGATGCCAGGGACTGAACTTGGGCCTTTGTGTATGCAAAGCAGGTTCTCGACTACTGAGCTTCACTGTCTCATCATTTTCATGAACATTAAAAATCCATTTGCGGTGATTTTTTACACTAGTACTAACAAACATTATTTATTAATTTATTCTATTAGACTTCTATCCTGCTCCATCCCCTGCAAAGCAGGGCTCAGGGAGGTTCATGACAATCAGAATACAATAGTTCAGGACATTACAATTTAAAATCCATGTTGTTATACATTAAAGCCCAAGACTTCTTTTAATTGCATGGTTGTTCAGGACCTTTTTGTGTTCCTCTGGCTTCTTCTGATTCTCAGCACTCTCTTCGATTGGTTGTGATGATCCATGTGGTTTTGAAGAAGATATCAGACAGAGCATTGTGCCTGATGTGGTGACATCAACAGCACCTGCAAAAAATGAACCCCTTGTGCTACCATATGCAATTCAATTGAGCAACCCCATCGAAGTTAGGGCAAAGAAAACTGGTATCACAAAGAAGAAGCAGCCCCAGGGTTGAAAGGGCACCAAATGACATAAATAGCATTCATGTTGAGTGAGGTTTTTATGACCCCAGTACTTAGCTATGTTGAATATATTAATTTTGAAGCAATAATTGATAACTAGAGAATCAAGTTGGAAGCCTCCAAGGAATTGCATTGTGTGTGTGTGTGTGATAAATTATTGGACAATTTATTCTTGATACAAATCTCCTCTTCCACCATGCAATAAGCTCTAAGAAGACTAAGCTAGCCAAGTTCCCCATTCAAATGTGTTTTCCTTCCGGTAGCTGAAATTCCCCATTCAAATGTGTTTTCACTTCCGGTAGCTGACACAGAACTGGGCTCAACATCCAGTGCCTTGAAGAGAGCAATAAGCATGCTCAGTCACCACTGAGTTGTTCTGGTTTCTCCTTCTTTAAATGACAATATATTGTTTTTCTGCATACCTGTACCACCTCATCTGTATTACATCTGCTTTATTGCCCTACTGATAGGCCCTGGATTGCCAAGATTGCTAGCAGAAGGAGTGATTTGGTATGGTCCTTAGGGGTCAGAACCTCCAACATCTGATCTCAGAGGATTACATCCCAGGTTCGAATCTCCATATAACAACTCCAGTGCTGAAATGATCACATAGAAATTTACAATACACAAAATTTCATGTTGCTTATCTAGGTTGTTCCAAATTGTATATGAGGCAGGATGCTGGACTAGATGGATCACTGGTTCAATCCAGCAGGGCTCTTATGCCCATTTGGGGAGCAAAGGCAGCATGGTACTCCGATGAGAAACCTCCAAGAAAGACTGCAGAGGAAGGCAATGGCAAACCACCCCCACTTCTCACTTGCCTTGAAAGCCTTTTGCTGGGGTCGCCATAAGTCAGCTGCGCCTTGACGGCACTTTACACACACACATGCATGCCCATTTGATTCATGTTTACTGAAATTTCCCACTGTGCAAATTCTAAGATCACAAGAAAAGGGATGATCGAGCACCTCCGTAGCATGTTTCTTACCTGGAGGAGGTGAAACATTCTCTCCATTCCTAAGCTGGTTTTTGGATAATGCTGGCTGAAAGGAGAGAAAACGAAGCCAGCAGTGGCACGGTCCTTCTTCCATAGCACACTACCTTAAGTATCATTAACGCCATGCTTGCCCTCTGGGGAGAAAGGTCAGGTATTACTGTGCAGTGATGGGAAGTGCAACCCGCCCAAGCAAGCCGCCTAAGGTGCCTTAGCATCTCATAATCCTTCCCAATGTCAGTGTTGCCGTGGGAATAAATCCATTAGTGTTTATGAGGTGCTCAGTTACCATGGTGATGCAGTACCATATGGAGAGAGGGGTTGCAGCCTGCGGGCCTGTATCTTTTTCTGTTTTAGCTACAAGAACCAAGATCTATGGGCTCTGGATGCCACATATCATGGCTAGTAGCTGGCCGCTGACCTGGCTCCTCTGCCTGTGAAGTTAATGTGTAATTATCAAGAATCTGCAGGGGGGCGGGTTTCTCAAAAACCCATGGGTCACTTCTTCCATTGTTTCCTTTCTAGGCGTTCCAGGTTTTTCGGGGGAGGGACCTGGGCAGACAGTGCCCAGCCCCCCCCCCAATGTGCCCATGCATCCTTCTCCCACTTGGAAGCCCTTCCCCCACCCACGTTCCATTGCCTGTACCACCTGCACACCTGGGAGTGCTTCTGCCCTTGCCTCCAAGAGGGCCACCACTGTGCACCACCCACATGCTCTTCCTCAGTGATCCTGGGCAGTTGGGAGCATGGGTGTAGACAGGGGGCAGTGGAGGTATGTGGATGGGGGATCAGCAGCATTGGGCCCTACCAGAAGTCCTGGGCCCTGGCTAGCTGCCCCACCTCAGGGCTGACATCAGCCCTGTTTCTAGGATTTAGAATGCTCTCTGGGTCTACACTGATGCAAGTATGCCTGTTGTTAAGGCCTTCTTAGAGTTTTTCTAACAAAAGGTAGACTCACTCAATGGGAAAGCATCCAATCTGTCCTTCTTAGCTGTTTTCTGCATTGTGTGTTTCCCTGGAGCAGAAAGCCTTTGCCTGTATCCCCGACACACTTCCCTTTGAATCCTGGATTCCCAGTCTGTCTACCACATCACAGGAACACCCCAAGCGTTTGCCTTGTCATTAACCTCTCCAACATATTTGATACGTTCATATAGGTTTTAATTGTATTTATGAAATGTTGTGTAAGCTGCCCTGAGCTCGCCTTTGTGGGGAGGGCAGGATATAAATTGAATCAATCAATCAATCAGTCAATCAATCCAACTGCCCTAAGCTCCTAGTTTTCACACGGGGCTGCTGCAGGATAGTGCAGTACTTGGAGCCAGGGGTCATTTCGTAGAAAAAGAGCGAGGGGAACTCATTAGCATAACTCATTAGCATATGCCACACCCCCTGACATTACCGGAAGTGTGTCATAAGGCCACACCTCCTGACATCACCGGAAGTGTGTCATAAGGCCACACACCCCGCCCCCAACGGTCCCGGCCGCCGCCGGCCTTGCAGCTCCACTGCCGAGCCCCATGAGGGGCCCGGCGGTGGACCTGCAAGGCCTCATACCTCACACCCCCCGAAATGACCTCTGCTCGGAGCCAGTAAGAACATACCAGAATCCTGCCATATGAGACCTGCTTCCTGTTTTGCACAGTTGCCCTGAAGGACCAATCAAATGGGGCAAAGGCCATCCCTCGATGGTACTGGTATTCAGATCTCTGTATATGGAAGCTCCCTTCCATCACCCTGGCTAGTGGTGTGTCACACTAGGGCTTGGAAGAGCCAGGTTCAAATCCCCTCACAGCCACAAAGCAAAACGGGTGCCCTTGGGCCAGTCACAAGAGTTGTTGTGAAGAGAGGACACCCTTTGCCCTTTGGCAGGGCCTTATGAATAGAGGATCTACAGTTCCCTTGGAGCCATCCCGCTGCAAATGCTAGTTTTCTAGGATTGTGGCATCTCTAGCTTGTGCATAGGCACAGTGTCCAAAAGTAAGGGGACTGCAGGCCACTAGCAGAAAGGCTAGGGAATCCGAATCCCGTTGTCAGCCTGGGGAGCCACCCTGAGGGCACAACCCACCGAGAGGATTTAAGAGCAGGGCTCATTTGTCCCTGTCAGTTTCCTTTTAGCCCCAGGAAGGTCCTCTCCGCCCACAGCTTAGCTAGTTTGCTCAGTGATTTGCGGATGTTCTTCCTCCAGGCTAACCATCCCCAGGGGTGCAATTACTTGGAGAAACGTAGGATGTGGACCACTGGTAAACAGACACTTCTTTCATGATCCTGGAAACCGCTGCAGGCCTGCAACCGAGCATCGGTTCACATGATTCTGGGCAACTCTGCACAATGATCATTGTGTAGATCAGAATTAATGTTGGAACTTCCTGAGATTGGACACAGTTTTGCCTGGGGTCACTGCAGCTCCAAGTCCCCCTTCCCTCTCTGTTGGTTGATGC